AATATATATATATATATATATATATATATACATTTTATTTTGCCTACAAAACAAAGGAAGCACTTTTAGCATTACATATATACATATGTATTTAAAATAATTGCAAAACACCAAGACAATACAAAATATATAGTAACAATGTAACAAATTCAATGTGAAAATTTAGAAATGTTTTAAATATTTGCTTGAAGAGATAATCGTTTTCATGCCTACGACGCCAAACGAACTTATGTCTGTTAACCACATTCCAAGTACTTTCAATTTGCTGCAGTTTTCAGAAATATTAATTAAAATTTGGAGAATGGATTTTTAAAATTGGAAAATATTTTCATTTTTTTAATGAAATTTATTTTTTATTTAAATAAACATGCAGTTATTAGCCTAACCTCACATAAACTGACCTAACCTAGGAAAAAAAATATTTCTCCAAATTTTAATTTATATTTCTGAAATCACCATTAAAAACTACATTCAAAAATTAAATTATTTTCAATTTGAACGTGATGCATGAAACAGAACTGATCCGCAAAATGTACAGGGGCGTTGCCATCGATAATTTTAGGGTTAAGATTTCAAAGTGAAAATAGCACTTTTGTAATACCGTAGCTGTACCTGTACCAATGGCTGTTTGATTTACTAAAATATCAAATTATATAAACCTAAAGCCCTGTAAAGAATTTTGACTTCAAAACGCGAGCAGTTTCTTAAGGCTAGTAGGTTTACTTTGACAAGTTATATTCCTGGGCTAATACTTTCTAGCAGGAATGTCGCCCTACGGGCGGCTTTTTGTGCTAGTAATTACTAATCTTAGTATTCATAATTTATTGAAAAGATTTTAGAAAAAATAAACACTTTCTAAAAAAGGGTTTTTCTGGGAAGTGCTGCACGGGAAAAGTGTTCGGATTGTACTGATATAAACTGTAATGTTTTTATATATATTAAACGTAGTACCGTTTATTGAAAAAAATATTTTTTTTAAGAACTCCATTTCTTTAGTATTACATTTAAAATAAAATAGTTCAATAAACATATATTCAAACACTCGCATATAGTCCTAGTGTAAGTCGTGTTCTTGTTGTGAGGAGAATACTTTTATTTAAAATTGTGTTTTGTGATAAAGAAATGGTTGTTGCACATACCACAGTTATTTTTCTATTTGTCGGAATCTTAAATACCCGAAGTTTGAACTTTTTTTAAGGATTTTTCTTTGTGGTGCCATTCAATAGATAATGGCACATTGTATTTATTATTTCGGTC